GACAAAAACTGCAAGAAAGATAACTGAATGACAACATAAGCATCCATCTTGTTCCTTGCACTGCTCTGTGTTTATTAAACACTTTTCAGAATTGTTAGTTTCTGCTGCTGTTGACTGCAAGCAGTATTTCCACAAGACTTAGAAGGATTAACAGCTTGTGTAGGCATTTGAAAATATAGGATGTATTTGCTCCAAGTAATGCAGACTTGTATCTCAAAAGCTTTCTAGAATCCTATGCTGCTAAATACAGAGTCAGTGCATTCTAGCATTTTCTTTATTCTCCTGAGGGTCAAGTGTTCTGCTTGCATAGGGGTGCATACACAAATTCTTCATTAATAATTAAGTCTTTAGCTGACACTAATTAGTTTCAACTACCTAACTATGTGCTCAGCAGGCCTGACCTACTTCACAGTTCTGCATCATTAGTGCTGGGAAATTAAAACAGTATCAGTAAAAATTGTATTGACCAATAGTGACCAACCTCTCAGTGCAGTTGCCACCAAAGCCAACGAGGGTCTCACCACTGACTTTAGTAAAATTAACAGCAGATCCCAAAGGCACAGAGAGAGGTAATGCAATGACAAAAAGTCATCTCCCACCAGTAGTAAGCAGCAAAAACAACAACAACAACAAAAGGGAAAAACAAAACTCCAGTCAATTTGCTTAGCACAGGCCTCTGCTGCTCTGCTGTGAAACACCAACCCCACCCAGGGAGCGCAGACTTCAGCACAGACTCAGCAGCAATTTGCAAGCTGTGCACTTCAGGGATATCAATTTAGCCAATCACCCAGGAGCAGCAGTATACCTGAGGTTAAATTGGGACCTGTGCAGAAAAACATTTGGACAAACACCAAAAAAAAAGAGAGAGGAGATTGCTCAGTCAAGACAGGCTGTGTGCAGAGGAAACTTGACACATCGCACATACTCAGTGAGTGAGTGCACTGAAGTGCCCAACTCCAGCTCCTCATTCAGTTCTACCACATGGAATGTTAATTAAGCCATAGGTTGAAGCACCTTTGACGTGCCTTGAGACAGAGTTTCAATGCAAACCAGCTTCATATGCAGAACTATTATCCTCAGGAACATATCAATTTAACAAGACCTAAAACACGTAACCACAACCAAACCTCAAACCACGTCCCTTGACATTTTTAAGTTTGAAAATATATAATAAATATTTAAGAATACAAACATTTAATATAATAATATTATAAAATATAAATACTATAAATATAAAGCTAGTCTGCAGCTGGAATAGCTTACAGGTAACACCTGTCTTTTATATCAGACATGGTTTTTTTCCCATTAGAAGGTTCAATACATCTTCCATCAGGACTGAGTCAGATTTATTTTTCATGGTGGTCAAGTTGCACATGTATAAGCAGGTTTTCCAGTAGCTCTTTGGTAGAGGCTGAAGTTCTCTGAAAGATCTGAACTACCTTCCTTTAAGCAAGGGGGACTTACAGCTTGCAATAACAGAATTGTTAGTCTTAGCACCATCCCATTTAAAGAAAGAAATTGCACTTGCTTAGAACATACAAGGAACATAAAGCTTTCAGTTGTGTATTAGCAACTTCTGCAAGGAAAAAAAACAAACACAAAAAAACCACCAGTAAATACACACACACACGAACAAACCCACCACCAAACAGAAGAAAAAGCAGAAAGAAGCAGCAGAAAAACAGAAGAAAGGGAGCAACTACTGCTAGAAAGGAAACAAGAACAGAATGTGTCACAGCACTTCTGGCTGAAGGGATTAGAAACAGCAAAGCAAGTACTCCCTTGTAACAGTGATGGTGCCAGTGGCTTGCTAAGTTACAGCAGCAAACAGTCCAAGGGAAATAGCCAGAGGACACAAAAATACAGCAATAGGAGAAGCCTTTTATTTCCCTGAGGTGCCACTAAGGCATTAACATGTGAATCTGATGTCCACTGTGACCTGCACAAAAGTTGGTGAGTCTTCACCTACAGGAATACCTGAACTTTGATGAACCAGCTCCTTGCTCATGTTGAAGATATTCCATTACAGCATTTACCATATTACTGCACTCACTCCAGGAGGAGCAGAGCAATCTCCCTTGACAGAGGTCCTGACCATTAAGTGCTCCCTTAGGACCCTCCCATTCCCAATTATAAGGTAATTACAGGATCCTGTGGCAATTTCAGCCCTCTCACAGGTCTTGCCATAGCTTGCATTCTGCACAGTGGACCCATTAATAAGTTAATTCTAGAAAGGTGTAGGAAGAGCATAACTCTGCTTTGCTGAGGCCATTTGCAAAGACATTCCAGAGCTGTGAATTGCAGAGCACGTCTGAATCTTTCTGTATAGACATAGCACAATATTTTTTTTATTTTCCTAAGCTGTACACATAAACCACCAGAGAATTCCAGGAGTATGGCTGCAATAATTCTTCTCTGACAGTCTGGGCAACACCTAGCATCCAGCCTAGAAGCATAATGACAGCTGCTAAATCTAGCATGGACAATACTGCTTGAGAACTGGGTAGATAAAACTACTACTTCACATTTAAAAGTTGCTGTAGTATGTGAAGAGAAAGTGTTCTTTCCTCTGACATTATTCCCTAAATTGAAATATAAGCCATTGAAAATGGAAAGCATTACTGTTTCTCAAATAGATACAAAATTCAGTAACATAGAACCTACACATAAAGTTCACATACACGTGAAAGTTAGAGTTTTCTGGATAAATAATTTTGTTATTCCCTTTGCACCTACCATAATCTTTTTAATCTAATGGGAATATAAACTTGAAGGAGTGAGATACAATCAGCATGTAAACATTTCCCAGAGGTATGAATCAATAGTCTTAGAAAAACATGCTACTTACATAGCACCTTGCCCTTCATGAGAAGTAGTTCCTTTAGTGTATCCTTCTAGCAAAAGGTGTGGGATCAAAATTAACCAAGTAATAGCTCACCAAATAACTACTCCTCAAATGGCAGACTGGGGCTTAGTTGACTTCAGTTTGCAGTTCCCTGTTACCCCAAAAATACACATTCATATACTCTCACAGTGAATGTAGCAGAGCTGATAGCTGGAGAGTCAACCTAGAACTGCTGATTAGAGGAACAAATGCCGTTGAAGTCAGTGCAGGACAAAATCTTCCTGTTAAAAAGCTTGTATTGTGCTTGCAATGAGCCTTCATGAACATGTGTAAAACATTTTCTGGGCTGAACTAGCACTCCCTACTTGTGACTCTGTGCTTTTAGTGGGATACATGACTTCTTCACGTCATGAAACAGATCACTGTGACTGAGAGATTAGATATTTTCTGTATTGTCCTTTGCTAATCAAATTTATTTAGTTTCATTTAATTTGCATCAATTACTTTGAACAATTATAAATTACTTAGAAAAGACCAGATCCTCAGTAGGGTTATAACGAATTGTAATCAGCTTTTGTCTGGCATTTCTGGAATTAGTGATTTACAGCAACTGAGAATCTTCTCTGAGAAGACAGACTGTGTTGACAACAGACCCTTATTAAACAGTCACAGATTTTATATTAGCACAGAGTAAGATGCCTGATTTCTTGCCTTCTTTACACATTTAACTGAACTGTATTCTCATTCAGACAAAATCATTATTACAGGAGATGTCCAGGGGAAATCTGCAGCTCACTTTCTAACTTTGGTGCGATACGAAATTCATTAACAAATGAAGGTATTTCCATGCAGGCTGCATGGAAACTGGAACAGATGGCCAGTCTGCAGGACCACAGGAAGGTATGACACACTTAAAGGGCTCATTTGTAAAAGCCACTTAGAAAAGTATCCCGTCTGCTGGAAACTAATAGGCCAGTGAGAATTTCTTTTCACGATAAAATGCTTTTAACTCTATGTCCTTGTCTAGTTTTCTTCTGTGGATGGATTTCTATGAAAGTCAGACTGACCATAATAGAACAGTCAAAACAAAGCAAGACTGGCTGTTCTGGGTGGATGATAGTAAATACAGTGCTGCTGTGAGTCATTTTCCCCAGAAGTGATATGTGAAACCCAACAAAGTTCTTTCTCTGTCGTTATTCTGGTGAAGAGGCACACAGCACCGATTTATGAGTGCAGAAAAGGGCAGTAAGCAGGAGAACACTATCCACAGAATCTTTTATTATCATGGGAAACTAGGGAACACGTTCAAATTGGGTTTCCGTGGCCATCAGTTCAAAACAATTAGCATTTTCCCTGTAACATGACATATTTGATTTGAGATCACTGACACAAAAACACAGATCTGGAGCCTCATTAAGACATCCTTATGCTCCCTTTCCACCATACAGACATCCCCTGCATAAATTAAAAAAATGTGACCATGCAACAGGCAGGAACCAGGACTGCAGATACTGGGATAGAGAAGCCACAGTGGTATTAGGAACGGGGAAGAAAAGTGTAATTCTTCATGGTTTAACAGAATTCATGGTTTAACAGAAAGTGCTAGCTTTCTTGGACCACAGATCAATAAAATAAGTACATATGCAGCTCAGTGGGTAGGACCTAACTCAGAGAAAAGCAGTTAAGATTGATACCCTGAAAACCCCAAGAACGTGTTCATTAGGCAAGAAACTCTATAACAACCTCTCCTCTATGAAGGGTCTTCCACTGCCAGAGGACCAGCTTTGCAGTCCACACGCCAGTTTGAGAGCTGACACGGAATACAGTTAAAATACCTGAATTTTCTTTTCCAAAAGCAGGCTTTTCAACCTTTTTTCAAACTGTGGAACGGCTCAGCTATTTCTAAATGCCACCGAACCAAATCCAGTGAAACTTCTAGAGAGACACTGTGACAGTAACCTTCACCATCACTTCCTGAGTGTGTTTGGCTTTTCTTTTTTCCCCCCTTAACAAGGTTTAATCTCACTGTCTGGCTGAACACTAATCCTCTTTCACCAGGTCCCAAACTAACGCCTGCTGCATTAATACACTGCAAATCCTCCAGGTATAAATTACACACAGTTCAGTATAAAAGGGAAGCACAGGACTTTCTTCTCACTACGGCTATTACTACCAGGAAGGCAAGTAGAATACAGGTAAGTTTTCATCAGAGCCTGAGGTAGAAATCTTTTTTCAAATTACTAACACTTTATGTAATTAATTGCTGCTGAAAAATGTATTATCCTTTGCGCTTTCTCTCGCTTGCTTCCTTTTCTTTCTCCTAAAGACAGGACACATTCTCTGTACAGAAACTCAGATAAAAATATTTCATTGAAACTGGTATGGTATTCTGCTATTATTAATCTGCAAAGATTGCTGACGTTCCACTTCAGTTCTTAGGAAAATCAAACTCCTTTAACAATAAAAATAAGGACAGACCTACTTAATGTCTGGTTTTCTTTTCTTTTTCATTGATGTTTCCAAAAGCTTGCTGTTATGGAACTATTTAAGGAAAATGCCAAGACTCAATTTCTCCCTGTTTCTACAAACATTTCCTGTTGAAAAAACTGCACATGTGTCTCCAGCATACATATATATTTTTTGCTTTGCACACAGGATGAAGACAGTTAATTGTTACGTGCTGTTATTTTGCTGGATAGCAATTTGTTGCAACAGCTGCCAGCTCACCAACATTACCATAGCAGTGGAGAGAGAAGAATGTGAGTTCTGCATCACAGTGAATGCCACGTGGTGCTCCGGGTACTGCTTCACAAGGGTGAGACTCCCAGTTTTAATTCCAGGCACCAGAATTAAATATTCCAAGTGATCTTTGAATAACCCATTTCTCCAGTCTGAGGACGAGCCTTGTGAAAGAACAGGTTGAGTAACAGGAAAGTAGATGCACAGCCAACCTGAAGAAGGGGGAAGATGAAAAGACATGAGTAAAACAGTTATTTAACTGGCTGCTCACTTTATGTTTGCATTGTATAATTAGTGTTAAAATATTACAGTGTAGATCTCTGCCTTGTGTGAGATTTGTGGTCGCAAGCAGACATGACAGAGCAGCCATTACTATGTAGGCTCCTACTTTTTCAAATAATTTGAAAAATCAAGCAATAGACCTGAAAGATTGTCTAGAAATGGTATGACACAGATTTGCCATATCAGTACTGAAGGGCAAAATTTAAGAATCTAAAAGTGAAGTTAGAAGAGTCAGATCCAAATGCTTTTGACCTTTGCGAGATTTTCCCGTTTTATAAAAATTTCTATTTTTATAAAAATTCTACCCCCATAACAAATTTCAAAATGGTTTGATTTCCTTCTTGTAATTTCAGGACCCGGTATACAAATATCCACCGGTATCATCCGTTCAGCAAACATGCACCTTCAAGGAGGTTGTGTACGAAACAGTGAAGATCCCTGGCTGTGGTGACCACCCTGAATCCTTCTATTCGTACCCAGTAGCTACAGAATGTCACTGTGAGACCTGTGACACTGACACCACTGACTGCACCGTGAGGGGACTGGGGCCATCCTACTGCTCCTTCAGTCAGAACGGAAGCAACCAGTGAAGGGGGCTTGAGATGGCAGTTTGGCTTTAAATGTTCCCTCCTAGATAAAGGTACTGATCAGGCTTAAGTGGAAGATAAAAAGCAAGGTTGTTTAGAATGCCAAGATTTAAACAATGATTTTTAAGGCCAAAATGGAGAGCTATTGACTAAACTCTTCCTCAGGCCTTCCCTACTTATCCCATCAGTTGCCTTAAAATCATTTTCATACACCTACACAATGCTGCTTCTGATTTCTTCTGCCCTTGCCTCCTCTTCATCACAACTTCTTTATTTATATTCCTGTATTACCACTGCCTGGTTCACTTAGATTATTCTGTGCTATTCTATGCTTTCAAAAAGTTCCCAAGTCTTTATTAGCCCCAGCTTTCCATCTCTCCTCAGAATGCACTTATTTCAAAAAGCTTTGCTGCTCTGATTTTATTACAACCAACGTCTGTGCCTTAACTTTCTACCAGTTGGATCGTAAACCTCTCTCAGCTGAGATCCTGACTGGTTGTTTTTGATGTTTTTTTTTTCAAAATACTTCATATAATTATTATGCTCTGTAAATAAGAACAGCAGGTTTATTTAAGAGCCAAAAATCTATGTTCAAAGGTTGAATATCACTTGAATTCTTGTACTTTCTCTGCAAGGCTTGTTAGCTCAGCCTCAGTGCCACCATAGCACAAGTAACAGGCACTGTAGTTCATACCTGGCTAACTTGAAAAAAAATCATCAGCTCTCTATTTTCACCTGAGTATGGAATGTAATAATGAGAATCCTTTAGCATTATTTAGCACAGAAGTCTCACGAATTATTTAGGGATGAATCTAGAGGCACCTGACCCCAGTAATAGTGCAAACATGGTGTGGCAACGTGCCTTGAAAGCAGTTTGCAGTAATCCCTTCTGAGAATGGAAGTTCTGCAGCAATTTTGCCAAGGCCTGGATGAAGTTGGGGTGGTCTGGAAGCAAGCTGGAAGGCTGACTGAATCAGAGTGGGAAAATTACCTCACATTATTGAGAATATTATCTTGAAGCCTACGGAATGAAAATCAGGAAAATGAAAATATACCGTTTGTCATCAGAAAAAAAAAATCACCTACACAGGCACAGAATGGAAAGCAACTGATTCAGCAGCAGTTTGGCACCGAAGACTTGGAGGTTATACAAGAGAAGGAAGAGTCAACAGTATCACAGCGCTGCAGAAAAGTGGGAATGTAAAGGAGCAGAGCCTTCAGGACACAACCTACCTCCACCACTCAGTTCAACAAGGCACAGGCCTCGGCTGAGTGGTTATTTCTGGCTCTGAACAGAGAACTGCATTGAAAGACTGGAGAAAATCCACAGAAAAGAAGGGAGAGAGGCCTAAAAAAAAAAAAAGCCTTAGGAGAAAAAGATTTAAATAAATGTGGTGGGTTTGGTTACGGGAGGTAACACTCGGGGGGAAACATTAGTGGAATTGTAAATGCTTGAAGACTGTTACATAGGAGAGGAACAGTCAGTTCTCCACGTTCAAAGAGAACAGAACAACCAAAGAAAGATTCAGAGTAGTCACTAGCAAACCTTCTGAAAGGTACAGACAACTAGACATTGAACTAAACTGCCAGGGGGTTGGAGAAAGAGGGAAAGAGGGAAGGAAGGAAGGGTGTGGGGTCTGTGGAGTAGTGACCACTGCAGGCCATCAGGAACACATTGAACCTGTTAGGAATGACAAAGCTAATTCACCATAAGGCAAGGGAATGAGGTAGGAATCTGGCATGTCTGCTTTTAAGACCCTTACAGACATGCTTGTTTAAAGGAAACCTGTGTGTTACTCTGAATCTCTCTTATAATAGATATTTTAAATTATATAATTTTTTTGCTTTTTTACTAGAAGATATTAATTCTTTTGATTGTATTTATAAGATTTATATGCATGGACATTTTCTTTGGTCTAGTGAAGTTTTGAAAGTGGTAAAGTAATAGGTAAATCAAATTGGGTCTCACTCATTTCAGTTTAAACATGAGTTGACTTCAGTTAAAACTAAGCATATTATTCATATCAGTAATTATTCCACTCTAAACGAGACGATTTTGAATTAAAATTGCAAAACAGAATAGCTTTTAGTAAAAAAGCAGGGAAAAATGTTTTCAATATAGATCTGTATTGTCTGTTGTGTATTTTGTAATAATAAAAATAATTTTATTGCACTTTTGTTATGTGTCTTAATAAGCCAATTAAAAAACTCAAGAGTCCACCTACTGACTTTACTATGCTTTAAATCACATGTTTTCTTCCCCTCCTCTTACTTCTTTTTCATGGAACTAGTATAACTATAACCACCTGAACCACATTTACATCGTATGGCCAAATCAAAACAAATAAGACCAGAATATTTTAGCCTGATCCAATAACAAGATGATGAAATTTTACAGCACAAAAAGAACTGTGGATAAGAGTAAAGATCATTATTAATATTTTATTTAAACTATAGGGACTAGAAGCTGTTCCAGAGCTGTGTTCACACATGTCACAAATCAGCTTGCAAGTGAAAACAAGAGTCACACAGCGCTCATTTTATCCATCGGACAAACGCATCCCTCATTTTCATTCTGCAAACAAATCGATTCAGAACCTCAAATCTAAAACTGTAACTAATGCAGTCAAAAGACTATTGGGGTTAATATCAGAATGCTGACCAAAAAAGCCCTTGCTGTTTGTTAACATCATATAAAGGGAGCCACATATTCAAAGCTGAAGTTAGCATTGGGATTCTACTCTGAAGTAAAATCCATCCCAAATCACGTCAACAATCACTTGTTGTTCTACAGACTGAGGGCAAATATTTCACTCTCTGTACTTTCAGTGACAGAAATTCACAAATTCTCAGAGGAGACTGCCCTGACTTGAAGGTATCAGTCTAAATTTGGTAGCCTGTGAGAGAGACTTTATCTCTTTAAAGTTCAATTTCCATTCAGTGCCCGATAATTTAATTAAGCTTACTTGTACATCAGCGGTTCTGCAAAGTTCTAGTGGAGGTACATGCAAGTCACGAATATCAGTGTAGACTGAGTTCCAAATCTGCTTATTATTTAAGAAAAATATTGAAGAAGTAATTTGTATGCTCTTTGTCTGGGTTTGCCATGATGAGTAGATGGGAACTCTGTCAAAAGGTGAAAGTCTCAGTATGACACTCTATTCTAAATACCAAACTGGTGGGTAAGCTTTTAGAAACATTCCTAATACAGTCACAAATAGATTTTCAAGAATAGCTACCATGGGCCTAACACTTTCCATGGAAATCAATAGGCAAAATGCCTTTCAACTTGAACAAAACTATCTGCCAACAGCAAACTTTTCAAAAACTGAATATTAATTCTACTAATTAATTCTGCAAAAAGACCTTGCAATATGCCAGTCTTCAGCCACCAGCCTACAGAAACTAACTTCAGAGGTAGTAAAAACTGAACTGAACTATTTGTTTACTCCCATTTAAGTAAAACTCTCTTTTTTTCTTGCATGAGCCTGAAAGCAGCAAACCTGGAAAAGTGGAATTTATAACCCCCTGGTGAAGGCACAGAGCACAGGGGCAATACACAGAGCTGAACTGTCCCTTACAGACCTCTGAGAGGGCCACTTGATGCAGGAGTCACTTTTGTTGTAATTAATTAAGTCTTTCGAATCCCAGATGTACAGATAAACTGCACAAAGATTCTTCTTCTTCTTCGCTGCCACATCTGTGGGCAAATTACTACTCTCTATCATGTGTTATGCAGACAGTTTGACCTTGATCTTCTGAGTGTCTGTGCCAGTTGTACTTGAAGCTCTCCAGACATCAAGGAGGGAACACGACGTGCAGCAGCAGCAGCATTCATAGTCCTACTAATTGAAATGATCGTTTAATCCCACTGCATTTTCAGGTGGAAAGCACCCCCTGATTTTGGACATTCCTCACCCTGAAGCCATTAAAAAAAAAAGCATCAACGTATTAGCATCACCCCACTGTTGTCAAAGCTCAGCTATTATTCCCAGACAAAGTAAATCATCCCTCCTAGCTTAAAATAAGTTTACACTTGCCTTTTTAATTTTGCAACATAACTGGGTTCGCAGTATTTTTTAACCATAAACAAGAATTGTCAGTGTCCTCTCCCCTATATTAACCAAATTGGTGAATAAGAACTTACTAGTCATTCACAAATCCTCAGACAAATCTAGCCTGAAACGGAGGTAACTGCAAGTGGTGAAAAACAGGAATGTCATCTGCCTGGCTTGCACATGTCAACTTGAGACTGCCCTTAATTTGGGCTATTTGAATGGGAAGGGGAAAGGCAGTTCAGCGTGGTGTTAATATGCCACACTCCCCTTCCACCCTCCCAACTCAACAAGAGCATTTTGCTTTGTCACTATGCAGTATTTGGCCACATGCTTTATTTTCATTTTAAAAAATATAACTATCACCTTAGTTGAAACTACCAAAAAAAGAAAAAAAAAAAGTAAGAAAAAGAGCTAAGCAGCTAATCCGAAAAATTCATTTGGAGATGGCAGCCTTGAGATTAGTGGCTCCCCTCTGCTCAGACCACGGGATCTCTAAAATTTTTCTGTGTCTCTCATGTTTCTCTTCAATTTATGTTATTAACATTAGCTATGAGAGCCTTGGTCTTTCAACATGACTTATACTGATAGACATCACAGCAGCTCACAAGGCTGCAGTCTCTGGGAAACAGAAAATGAGACAGGAGCAGGGTTAGAGAAAGGACATACTTTGAGGAAATCAAATGTCAGTGTTTCATTATGTGTAGGCGGGGAAGAGAAAGAATTAACTAGCTGTGCTTCACAGTAATTAACCATTAGACCTCTTAATACAAGAAACTGTCAGGATATATTTCTTGTGTTGTATTATTCTTTGTGAAACAAAGATTTTATATAGGTTATGTATAGACATTATTCTGTGTGAAAAAGTAAGTTAAAATGTGAATCTAATATGTTTGAATTACATTCAGCTATAGTTACATACATTAAATAATTTTTTTTTCAGGCAGG